AAAATACAACTCCCCATATGTTTTTGAGGAGGTAACAACATTCTAACATGCTAAAAGCTCACAAGAGTCAAATTTGCGTAATATAGGACCTTAAACATCTGCTGAACCAACCAACCATATAAGTAGTCATTATGTTTGAGGGATTAATGAGTACTCAATATGTCATTGTAACATATTATGTGTTTGTGCGACACTTTAAAAGAAATTAGCAGATATCTGAACACCTGTTTCTATGGATATGTCATTTCTCTGCCTGAAATGTTCCACAGTATGACATTAAACAGCTTTACCTTACAATTATTCAATTACAGGTGGTTTTATCGCTCAAAAATGCCTAGAATAAAAGTCTTTTCCACAGATCTAGCCTCTAACCTGGTCTGGTCTCCATGAAGATAGAAAACTTTAAAACCAGACTAGGGCTGAGTGATATGGGGGAAAAAATAAAATAAAATCACAATCTCTGTTCCCCATGTTGATCGATCTCAATTTTTCGATTTGATTTTCTTCCATTTAATTGAAAACACAGATAGACATTTTAGGCTGTCAGTTTTCTCCTGGAGGCAACCTGAACGGAGAGTCTTAAAGGAGAGTCTTGGAGAGTTAAAGCAGTTCACAGACATGTCTCTTTAGTGGCTCAAGCACGTACAGGTCTCTGATTCCAGTTGATTACATCTTTCAGCCACACAGCATCTCTTCACGTCACCCCCCTTAGTACAACAGAGCAGGTAGCTTTATACTGACCATCTTGTCAAAATATTGACTGAATGTATAACTGTTTTTTGCAGGAAATTCGCAGTATGTTGACCCAGACAGTGTTATCATAGATCGGCGTATGTTAAAGGGTTCAGATCCACCCCTTTTCTGTCTCATATCCCTCCCAAAGTCCATAACAACATGTCCCAACCCCATTGACACTTCAAAGTCCAGACACTGACCTCTCTTTACATAACACACGCCAAGGGACATTGAACAACTTCTATATTGCATGGTGAATTAACATGAATGAAATATTAAAAACACAGAGAATAATTCCAACAAGGCATAAAGGAAACAATGCAATGCTTGATGGATTCTGCTTCACAATGAAAGGAAGAACCGACACCGAAGGATCAAAAAGTGACGTCGCTATGAACACTTGGCCGCAACAAGCCAATTATCTCTGTGGTAACTTTTCTGACACTTCCTGCTTAAAACCTGGGCCACTACAGTTTTTATTTCATCTTGATCACATTTAAAGTTTGGACTCAAGTTTCACTCATAAACAGTGAAAAAAAGGTGTTTACTTTCCTGCTACGGCCGCAGGTCTTCAGTTCTAATTTGTTTTGTGTGCTTTAAATTTTTATTATTTTGCTGGCTGTCCTGGATCCTGCTGTGGGATCCCTTGTCTGTGATTGGTGGAGAACTTTTACACTTGGCCAATCCCAGTGTTGGGAGTAATGTATTATAAAAGTAATGTATTACAGTAATGCGTTGATTTTTGCTGTAACGCAGTAATGTAAGGCATTACAGGGGGAAAAATTGTAATATTTTACTCGGTACAAATGTGAGTAACGCGCGTTACAATGCTTTTTTAACCTGGATTGAAGTGGTGGGTTTTTCTTCATAGAAATTTGCTAAAATCACAGTGAAATCAGCAGCGGTGAAATGCCAGAGACGCGGCCGGATAGACCTTCAGTTAACCGCGGGTGAAAGGACCAACCCGCTGTTTAGACCTGGTTTAGACCTGGGTCACTTCTGGTTTAGACCTGGTTTAGACCTGGGTCACTTCTGGTTTAGACCTGGCTTACAGTCGTCCCTCGCTCTAACGCGATTCACTTTTCGCTGTCTCGCTGTTTCGCTGTTTCGCTGATTTTTAGAATTTTTTATTTTTTTTGTGCAATTTTGCATGCCTTTTGTTTTTAGTGTATGAACACGTATTGCGTTCCTCCCGCTGTGTCCTGATCGGCTAAGGGACTCCTGTCTACTGTACAGTACAGTACAGAATATGTTCAGCTGCCAAATTTAAATACATGTTCAATCTATATCAGTGTGATTCTGAAGTGCTGTATGTCTGTAAGTTTTCTCTCCGACAAAATCCACAACATCGACGAAATGTTCTGCACTGACAAAGTCTCCTGCGCTCACGATGCGACGATGCAAACCATCACACAAAAAGTTGGACTTCTGGACACGTTGAAGGAAGGTAGAAGTTACGCGCTGTAGCAGAGTTTTGCACCGGGTCTTGTACCCGCAAATAGTTGCTGAAATCAGGACCGTGAGCCCGAGCAGCAGGGGTCCATAAAGAGCGATCGGGCGACAGCCGCTCTTTCCTCCATGAGGTGCGGAGCAAAGCCGGTCCTTTCTCCTGCGGTCACCTTTGAGCCCATCCTGACAGTGAGTCCTGTTTTAGTCCTAGTTCAGTTCTGGTTTAGTCCTGGTTCAGCTCTGGTTTAGTCCTGGTTTAGACCTTGTTTAGTCCTGGTTCAGTCCATATACGGCTCAAAAGTTCAGCTTTTTCGCAGTTATTTTGGTGAGAGTAACTTAAAGTAATGCAATAGTAATGTAATGCCTTACATTTTAAATGCAGTAATATTGTAATGTAACAAATTACTTTGAAATGACAGTAATAAGTAATAAATAACGCATTACAGTTTTAAAGTAACTTGCCCAACAGTGGCCAATCCTGCCTCACCTCCAACCTCCTACTATTTAAGGAGACTCCAGCAAGTTTTCGCGGCTGCTGGTCTTGGTGGCCACTCACTTTGTGTTTGTGTGAGTCTCTTTCGTGTCAGTCACTCATTTTGTACTGCTACAGTACGTGTCTGATGTTGTTGGTTTTGTTGAGACACTAGTTTAGTTTAGTTCTGTTTTGTGCCTTTTTTGATTTGTCACTTGATTTTGTTTGTGCGTTTATGTGGTTTCACTTTGGGGCACTTGTGTTGTAGTTTTGTGTGTGTCCCTTAGTTTAACCACTCGTTTTTAGGTAAGCCTGCGAAACTTATTGTATGTTAATCCTGTTTTTTTTCTTAGTTTAGTTCATTTTCTGCATATATTTTAGTCTGTTTTGTTAATTTACCTTTTACATCCCTGTTAATTAAACATTATTTAATTTAGTCCATTATCCATCTTGTTTTTTTTGTTACTTCCCTGACCCCAACGAGCTGGATCGTAACATTTCCGTAACTTGGATTATAAAGATGAGAAGAGCAGGAGGAGAAATGGTGAGGAGCTGTGTCCGGATCAGAATGGGAGGGGAGGAGGGAGGTAGAAGATAGATAAAAGATGGACCTGAGTAGAGATCGCAATCTATCAATCTTGTTTTTTGGCACAGCCCTGTACCATACTGTGACACATTCCTGACAAAGCAATAACATTTCCAAGGAGTAAAGTATTTAACAAACCCTTGACCATAAAAGTTACACAATCCACCTTTAAACCTGCGTAAAAAAAAAGCTTTGAAATCTATTGATGGAGTTGATGGCTTAGATTTTGAATAAACTTGAGATACAGGGGGTGAGTTGGAGGAGCTGCAGCAGGAGTCCGAGTGTTAAATCCAGTTATCAGTGAGAGACACATGGCACTGTCTGAGGCCAGTTTGTCCCCTCTTTTGTATCTATGCTTTTGTGTTTGCTGATAACATTGTGCAGCAGGTGGACAGGGCTTATCTCCGGCTGTCTATGCCGCTCTGTAGTCCATGCCAAAGGACACACATTTCGAGACAACGCTGTTTGATTGTGATTTTCAAAATACAAATTCACTGGAACAAAGGGAATTGTCTGGTAAAGAGCTGCATACACATTTTAGCCAATGCAATGTGAAAATCTGAAGAGCCCGTATTATGATGTTTTCTGATCTGTGTTATAACGTTGTTTCCTCATCACAAAAATACCTGGAGTTGTGTTTTGTTTCATTCATGTTTAACACCCTAACCCTGCATATTTAGGCTGAGTTCTTCTCTCAAACTGAAAACAATATTTACCACTGCTCCACTGGATTTAGCCCTGGAATTGCCAATCTCGACTGAACAAAAGGTAAAAGGTAATAAAAAAATAAAGTAATAAATGCAGGATTACTCTAAAATATGTGAAAGAAGCAAAACACAACTCCGGGTATGGTTTAAAGGTCATAAAAGTCCATTTTGGATAATATAAGAACTTTAATAATGGTCATGTAATTTTGATAAAATGTGGTCATGTTTTGTTTTGTTTAAATTTTGAATAAATAAAACAAAAACTATTAAAATTCAGAAAAAAGGATAGGATATAAAATTTATATTGCAGCTCTTTTTAGTTAATAATTTAGCTTTGTTAAAAATTTATAGAGATTTTTTGTATACTTATGATAAAAAATATATATACCATACTTAAGCCTCTAACCTCATCAAAAAACAACTGCGCCCCCACAAGCCAGAGCGGCCTACACATGAATCCATTCGGGTGTCCCAGCATGACTTCAGTAAACTACAAAGCCGCACCGCCCGCAGCGCACGCAAACACACACGGAGCAGACAGCGACCGCACAGCGAAAAACACCCACAGACACACTCATCACTCCACGCGGACGAGGAACGGAACGGAGGAACGAACCGAAAAAGGGAGTCCAATGTGCTACTTCTAAACACAACTGAACAACTGAGTCACTGTGAACACGCCGACAATCCAGCGATCCCAGACAGCACCCTCCCTACACGCCACAACTGAACAAAGCCCAGAGTCAACGTGAACGCGCCAAACAAAGTCTGACTGACCCATCGAACTGTTGTGTTTCGTTTAAAGTCCAGTGCAGTTCATATGTGAAAAAAGTTTGAAAATAGACCATTTAATGACAGTGTGCTTTATAATCTGGAGCGCCCTATAGTGCGGAAAATACTGTATATATGATTTGGTAAAAAAAAATGCATAAAACTATAATAAATTAATTAATAAAAGCAAAAAGTTACAGAATTTCCAGCGCCCCAAAAAAAAAAAAAAAAAAAGTTTCTGGAAATATAATCACAAAATGGAAGTTGGACAGAGACTGACCTTTGCAGAGCCTCAATCTTATCTGCGGTGATCCTGGTGAGCAGCTCCTCCAGCAGGTCCGAGCTCTCTGGGGGGAGGGATTTGGGTTTGACTGACGCAGGAGAGTGGAGGAAATAGCCAATCAAGAGGCCCAGGACAAAAAGACCCACGCCCGCAATTAAATACCTACAAAACAAGATTATATTAATATGGAGTTGATTTATTGACTGTGTAGATGATACCTTTCACATCTGTCACTTTTATCGTTTTAACCATCCACTGAAATAAACAGAGCACTTTACCATAGACTTTAATGATAAATAATTCCCCTTACAGGACAGCGTATTCTGCAGTTTGTCATTATATTATACAAATAATCACCTGCCAACTTGTGTACACATTATTGCAAAGTTTACAACACAGGCCTTTACCTCACTGGTTCAAGACCAGTCTCTTTTATAAAAGACGCACTGTGCTTGTGTCTGCTACAAAGCTATAATCTATGACACGAGTGGATTGTTGTTAGAATTAGCTCATTTAAATCGCAATATTAATCTAAACTGACTTAATAAAAGAAACAAGCTAATTTCCACATTAGAAAAATGCAGTGCCCAGTGGAAGCTGACGTCACAGTAAACGTCATCACAACAAGCAGTGTATTTCTCACTTGTACCAAAATGACTATGCAACACTGCTGAATCCTATGGAGATCACGATTAACCCTCTCAGGCTCAAATTAATTTTTAGTATCAGGAAAAATCTGATATTTGGGGAAAATTATAATATGGGGTAGTAATATACAATTCTGACTTTTTTATCCTTTGTAAACAAAAAAAGTATTTTGCACTTCTGGCAGGCCGTTTGCGTGGAGCCATTCTTACACAGTCTGCACTGCCTATGTTTATCAGCATGGATGGGAAAAAAGGCTCCTGAGTAAAAAAAGCTCATATAATATGGATGTGGAGTAAGTAGGTACTTGGAATTTAGCTGTTGCAAATCTGCAACGCCTGCCTGGAGAGGGTTAAGGAAATAAAACTGGAGACCATATAGAGCCGGCAATTAAAACAAGGACTGATGGACAATACAGCGTCTGAAAATAAGCAATTTAAGATTGCTCAGACATGCACAAATCAGTCCAAATACAACTTTGGATGAGTAAATGTGAAGGAAAACAGCTCTAAAGTTGATTTTGCAGAACAGGTCTGAGGTCATTGCACTGTATATTTGTTTGATAGCAATGGGAACTTCGTTTTGTCAAATGTGTATGTTTGAAAGGACAGATATAATCTAGAATGGAGTATTACATTACTATATAGGCATTTATATACAATATTTCAACTACAGTGTTACGCCGGGACATGTGTAAACATGCTGCACTACACCACCTACTTGTCTGCAAGGAAACTGATACAATTTCACCACTTCCACCAATTCCCATGGAGATTTGCAGGTGGTGGCCATCGACGAGACAGTGTACCTTAATAAATACACCATCCAACATACACTAACTACCTCTGCCACCACTACTACTCCAGTATTACAACATCTGCTACTACTACCACATATACAGTGACTCTGACAGTCCACAGACCTGAGCAGGAAGCAGTGCAGCCTCCTCTGGCCCTTGTTCCCCGGAGCTCTGGTGAAGTGGGAGATGTAGTTTGGATCTTCCTGAAGTCGCTCAAACCGTCCGTGAGGAGAGACCGAGACGGACGGAGGGATGGGCTCCATGAACTCTGGGTCTGGGTCTGGGTCTGGGTCTGAAGAAGTAAAAAGTAAAAAAGAACTTCAATTCAATTTTTTTTAAAGTCAAATTCTCTAACCCTGTAGTTTAGACTTCTGCAATCATTCTGTTCTGAAAGGTATAAAATTCTTGTGTTGGTGAAGCAGCTCATTTTCAGTCTTTCTCAAATTTTAATCCACACAAACTTTTCCACCACCTGCTTCTCTCATATGTCATTACTTTCCCTGGAATGTTCTAAACTATGGTAGATTTTATTATTCAGTTCCAGGTGTTTTTATTGCTAAAAATCATACTTGGCCAGGTGGTGTCACTTTCCTGTCTCTGTGGAGATGGTTTGGAGATTCCATACTATGGAAAATCAAACTATAACGTAATATCTAGATCATTATTTGACTTTTTGTTGTCTATAAACTGTAATATTGAGCGAAAATGAAATCAAAACCGGTTCAGTGGATGGTATAGTAGCACAGGTATGGTCTTGGGTTCCATTACTGGAGACACAGAGCCGTTCTGTGCAGTGTTCTGTTTGCATGTTCTCCTTATGACTATGTAGGTTTGTTCTGGGAGCTTCAGTTTCCTAGCCAGGCTGGTGCCACCTAGTGCCTCCACTCAATTTAATTTCTCTCCAGTGACTAGGTCTAGAATCGAAATACACTTGATGGTTTGCAAGAACCCCGGAAGTTGTAGACAAAGCACTGGCCAATCAGCGAAGAGCTGTGAAGCCATGATGTCAAACTCAAGCGTCTGTCTGGGTCCCTTTTGTGGTACAGCACAACAGTAAACAAAGCGGTCGAGATGGATGTAGACGAAGACAGACATTCTGTGTTTAATTTAAAGCCGGAACAAAGAAAATGTTTGAATTTTACAAAGGGGAAAGACGTTATTGTCCTTTTTTCTACATGATTTAATAATGGATTTATTTTATATAGCATTTTTCTGGGCACTCAAAGATGGTGATGACCAGTGATGGTAAGATACTATTGTAGCCATAGCTGCCCTGGGGCAGACTGATGGAAGCGAGGCTGTCAATCTGCGCCATCGGCCCCTCCAACCACCACCATCACTCACACACACACCACTTTCATACTAGGCAATGTGGGTGAAGTGTCTTGCCTAAGGACACAATGACTAACCAGGCCCGGCCCTGCTTAGCGTCTTAGATCTGACGGGTTCAAGCTCTGACAAACCGGTATGGCGGGATTTGGTGCATTATGTACGTCACAACCAAATAGCAGCGATTGATTAAATAAAAAAAGTACCTGCCTACTGTTAAGTGAATGAATTCTAATCCTGCGGGATCAGACGGTTTCCATGAAGTGAAACCGGCTGATGAATCAGGCTATCGGTTTCACTGTAAACACTGAAAATCACTGTAATCAATCTACAGTAGGGTCCCCTGTGAAGCCAGGACTCCCTTAAAAAGAGATTTTTAATCTCAGTGGGACTATCCTGCTTAGATAATGGACAATAATAATACCCAACTTCAAAAACGTGAAAAAATGCAGAATTTATAGGGCCTGTCTCTTCATTGTGGCATTTTACAGCAACAAACAGCAGATTTTAGTTTTTATTTTTGAAGAAAAAAAGTAACATTACACAAAACTGACTGCTGTGAGCTTTAACCCACATTACAGCGTTGTTACCTCATCAAAAACATATCTGGAGCTGCTTTTTGTTTCATTCACACATGTTTGAGTCGCCCTTTATTATGTGTCTCTTTTGTGTTTTGTGTGCTAAACGTGTGAATGAAACGAAACAAAACATTTCAACAGAGATCAGAAAATAGCGTAATATGGACCCTTTTAAACCTGCATGTATTACTCAAAGTCTTAATTCTTCTGAGAGATTGGAGATAAGTGAAAACTGACATTCACACCTCAAATCCAACCAGTAATAGCTTGTCAGACAAATCACAATTCAATATTTTTCCAAAGTTGTTCAGCCGTAACGCTTCTCCTTTTCAACTGTAAAAAACTCACTTGTGTGCAGCAGAGATTCAAAAAGCGTAGATCCAAATTCTCGGTTCAAAGGCTGCAGATGGGAGAGGAGCTGGAGGGGGCTTCCGGAGTTTAGTGTGTGGAGCTGCAGGCGCGCTCACTCCTCACGTTAAATAAAGCATTGTCTTTCCTCACACTGACAGTTTGTTTCAAAGGCCCGGCTTCTGCAGTCTCTCTACAAAGCTCCGAAAGAACAGACCTGGCTGGAGAGATTTTGGCGGAAAATAAACCAAAAGTCTTCACAGAATTTCTTTAATGTTTGAGCTGATACGCTGTTCTTTCATTAAACGCAGTGTAATGCACAATGTAGCTGTAGTACAAGTGGGCCGGTGGCAGTGGTGGCTCCAGAACATGCTGCTGTTGTTTTATTTTTTTTAAGCAAGACACTTTACTCACCTTGTCTAGTATGAGTGTGGTGTGTGAGGTTGTGTTGAGGTTGTGAGGTGACTGTGATTGGTTGTGGTTGGCTGGGCAGATGGCGCAGATGTTTAGCCTTACTGCCGCTGCGATCAAGTCCAGCCGTTGTGTTCTTAGGCAAGACACTTCACCGACATTGCCTAGAATGAGAGTGTGCGTGTGTGAATGATTGGTGGTAGTTGGCGCAGACTGGCAGCCTCGCTTCCATCAGTCTGCCCCCGTACAGCTGCGTCTACAGTAGTACCACCCAGTATAGTGTGAATGAATAATGACTATAGATGGATTATTTGTTATTATTATTATCAACAGAGCGGCTGCGCGCACCCTGAGTACACAAAGCACTGCTGTCTGTGCAGTTTACATGAAGTTGCAACGTTAGCTAGTGATGTTGTCAGCACAAAAACAGTTTATTGCCGTGTGATCAAATAAGTTATGATGCTAAATTAACATTAGTGAGTGGGTCTTAATACCCATATGTGATTGAGTGTATAAATAACGAGAAGAAATGGCTCAAACTTCAGTAGCCAGACACCCTCTCATATCTGATCAACACAACTAGACTATCCCCCGGGAAAGTCTGAAATCTGCTGAAATCCTACAAGGCACTGACATGATACCAGACAGGACAGCAGCTCTTTCTGCAAGAGACATGCACAGTAGAGCGCAAAGTGACATAGTCTGATAATCCTTCTATAGCAGGGGTCTCTCGAACCTGTAGCTGGGGAGCTACCTGCAGCTCTCCACCCTCTTCCAAGTCGCTCGCCAAGTGATTTGGGAATTATACGTATTGAGCAGAATAATTCAAATTTGATTGATTAAATGCCTATTTCCATTGTAAATGTGTCATTTTGATGCCTAATTTTGTACACTGATAAATGGATAATGGGTTATGTTTTTTAAGAATCTGTACCTCATCTACGGCTTACCATGGCTCTTATATTTACAAAATTTCTAGTAACTGCTAAAGTAGCTCTCTGGCATTTTATTTTCATTTTACAAAGGTAGCTCACAGAAGGAAAAGGGTTGAAGACACCCGCTCTATAGTGAAGCACTGTGAGACTCTAACAAGCCTGCAATGCCCTTTTTGAACTGTAAGGCATTAACAGTATTATTATTAATCAACATGTGTAACATAAGACATGTTCAGACTGCAGGGCTTAATGCTCAGTTTGGAAATGAAATGTGATTTTTTTGCGATGTTGTTCACATTTCCAATTAAATGCAACTTGTATGTGATCTCCAGAGTGAACTTTAAACGCCCCAAAAGTCTCGGATGTGCACTGGAGGACACGACGACGTCACACGCAGCGAGTGTCCTCAGGGTTTACGGAAGTAGCTTTATTCCTTCTGCCACAAAGCTTTTAAATGTATAGCAAATTTGCTCTTGTGTCCCTGGTGCACTGAGGTTTGAATGTATGGTGTGTGCTGTGTGTATTTGTTTTTCTTTTTATCTTATTGATACATTGTGCACGACCAGAGATGTGTGAACTGAATTGCCCTTTGGGATTAATAAAGTTGGTGATTGATTGAACATGGAGGCGAGCATTGAGCGCCTGGAGATTTTTAAAGTTGCTGTTGTACCGGAGCCAGAACATGTACAGCTGATTTGTTTTAAGGGGAAGATTGAGAAGGAGAAGGACGAGGTTTTGGCCATGGCGTTTTGTAGGGCAGTGGCAGCAACGTTCGTAGAAATGAATGTGTGGGTGCAGAGTCGCAGCCAAGAGTGATGGGATTGCGATGTGCTTCGCTGCTTCACTGGCACGGAGTTCATTAAAATTTTTCGTATGATGAGAAAAATGTTTGTGTAAATTTGTGGCGTGTAGGTGGGATGAATGTGACCTGGCCGTTCAGACTGAAGTCGCATGTCAAAAAGATCGGATATGTATCGGTTTTAGGAGCACATATTCAAGTGGCCTGGGTCGCGTTATAAAAAATTCTGGATCTGTGTCGTTCAGACTGTCATTAAAAGATCAGATACAGGTCACATGGGGCAAAAAAATTGGATTTGGGTCACTTCAGGCCGCAGTCTGAACGTAGCCATAAAGAATTACAATTTAGTTTCAACATGAGCAGTAATACTTAGTTTACATTCATTTTAAGGATAGTTCATTTTAATTAATTGTAATCAGGTTTATTCTAGTCCTTGTGGGAAGTGTCCTCCACGTTTGACTCATCCTTTAATTCCACTGGGATTAAACCTGTCAGACGCCGTGGACAGCTGCGGTGCAACGCCCAAGGACCAAAACTTGAGCTGGGTTTACCTGTCATGCTCTGCTCAGACCACGGCATCAAAACAGCATCAAAACAACATCAGACGCCTTTAGGTAAACGCCTTTGCATTTGAGGGTAAAAACTTGAAACATGTTGACGTGCCGCGAATTTTTCCAGACAAAAACAAAAGACTGAGACTGTGCGCGTAGATCTGAGGCATGTTGAGGGTAAGGGCTGAACTGGAACAGATTCAGACACAGGGGTAACAACCAAACTCCACAGAGAATTTCCCAAAAATAGTCATGGGAATAAAACCTGAGACCTCTTTCTAACCGTGAAGTGAGAGCTAACCACCCACACACACACACATATACAGGTATCCGAGTGTTTGACCTGCTCTTGGACAGTCCACGTGTTGCATCTGCAGTCTCTCCAGGTCTGGTCCGGCCTCAGGGAGCTCCTCTTTATCCAGGTCCCAGTCCAGCTCCAGGGCCCCGGGGCACACCTCCCCCACAAGAGGGCCCCCCTGGGAGTCACACACCTTCCTGTAGGCCATACCAGCCCTGCAAACACACAGGAGAGAGCTGTGAGTTAATTCAAGTGCGAAAACAGACCACAAAAATTGCTTGTTGCGATGTGCAAAAATGTGAATAACCATAAATAACAATCCAGCGTCAAAAAACATATAACTGTTACTCAAAATAAATCAAATATGTATTCATTCATAACTTTATTTATTTAAAGGTGCAGTGTGCAGCTTTTCTGGTGAAAGATCCACCACCTGAAATGCCTGGAATGTTCCTGGTATGACATTAAACATATCTATCTAGTATGTATTCACTGCAAGTGTTTGTCGCTCAAAAATACAACAGTCCCTTTTGTGAATGAGGCAGCTCTCCACAGATCTTGAAATTTAGCTTTGTGCTGTAACCTGCTTGTCTCCCTTGTCATAAATAGGTTGTTAGAATAATTGTTTATGTTATCCCATATTTCTATGTATTGTTTTTTTGTGTGAATAATGTTTGTGCTTATAACTATGCAGTGACTTGTCACCCACTCAAAACAATGACTTAGTCAGCACTTTTCTGAGAAAGAGGACGGCTCTCACTTTGCTGGGAAAGAGGGCAGCTCTCAAGGATGGCAGAAAGAAGGGGACGTGCTGGAGGGGACGTGCTGTTCCTAAAGATGCTACAACAAAGATGCTACAACAATGATGCTACACCTTATCGGCCACCTGCTGCTGAATATACATGTTTGCACAATGAAATCATGTCTGATGTTTCTACTCACTCTCTGTCCGCCCTCCTCATGAGAAAACGATATTAATCTCTTGTCTTTCTTCTTACTTTTACAATGTTTAGGTGGGCTTAAACCTGACATAGGTTTAATGTGCACTGTGGATTCTAGATAAAGCAATAACATTTCCATTTTCCACAGAGACAAACAAGAAACTGACCCTTCGCTAGAAATATCAATCAGTGCACCTAAAAAAAAAAAATCTACCTCATCAAATGTTTGTGGAGTTACAGTGGAGGAAATAATGATGGTAATTTTGTAACAGTTGTCTCCTTAACACCAGCTTCTTGCTTATGGTTCTGTGGCTCATTCCAGTCTTGTGCAGGTCTACAATCTTGCGCCTGACGTCCTTTGACAGCTCTTTGGTCTTTCCCATGTTGGAGAGTTTGGATTCTGATTGACTGATTCTGTGGACAGGCGTCTTTTATACAGGTGACTAGTTAAAACAGGAGTTTAATTCAGGTGACGAGCTGATAAGGAGTGTTAAACTGGTCTGTGGGAACCCGAACTCGTAATGGTTGGTAGTTGATCAAATGCACACACTGCCGATCAAAAGTTTTAGCACTCCACACTTTTTCCAGTTTTTTACTGTTTACTGTTGACCAAAACTTATTCTAAACTTTTGATTCATGAAAGTGTCCACCTTTGGCAGATATAACAGCTGAACACACTCGTGGCTCGTTCTTTTTACAATAGAAATCAAATATTCTTCAGAAAGTTCTTCCCAAGTCTGTTGCAGAAGTTCCCATAAATGTGTGGCACTTGTAGGTTGCTTGGCTTTTACTCTTCTGTCCAGTTCATCCCAAACCAGCTCGATGGGGTTTAAGTCTGGAGACTGTGCTGGACACTTCATGTTTTCAAGCATTACCATCTTGTTCTTTTTTCCTGAGGTCATTTTGGCAGAGCTTGGACTTGTGTTTTGTTATCTTTTATCTTTTTTTAAACCTCTCGCTGTTCAGTTCTTACGCTTGTTCCATTTCAAGCTCTTTATTGGACTTGCAAGACTTGAATTGCAATAAATAACTGGAAAAATTAGAGTGTTCTAAAAATTCACACAATAAATGCAATTAATATATTTTCTATAATGTGATTTTTTGGATTTTCTTTTTGATATTCCGTCTCTCACTATTATAATAAACCTACCATTAAAATTATAGACTGTTTATTTCTTTGTCAGTGGGCAAACCTACAAAATCAGCAAGAGATCAAATATTTATTTCCTCCACTGTACATGGCTCACATAAATTTGCTGTTAACTTGTTCAGATTATGGAAATTAAGAAAATTTTATCTCAATCTCCAAGGAAGAGATTTCTCAAGATAAAATCAACATAGCCTATAGGCAATTACTAGTATAACAATAAATGTAAAATGGTCACATTTTTATACAGCACTTTTCCACTTTCAAGGCACTTTACAATCAAGCACCTTTCACACATTCACACACACATCCATACACCAGTGTACGCAGACACTGGGGACGAGTTTCTTGCGTTAAGAGTCTTGTCCAAGGAGACAAGGAACGGATTTAAACTGTCAAACTTTGGATCGGTGGACAAACACTCTCCCAACTGAGCTACTGTTGCCCTTGATTACAAAACATGACAAAGAAAGACAATCCAGAACATAATACGGACTAATAAATTTAGCATTGTAAGTGTAAAGGTGATTTAAATGGAACAAAAAGAATAGCCAAACATCCATAACCAGAGCAGAGAGCCCCAGAGCCTTTATGTGTTTCTAGATGAAGGCACAGAGGCTCAAACGGAGCACGAACAGGTCTGGGAGTCTCCTGCATCAATCTTCACTGCTCCAGCACACTTCCATTACTTCTGCCTCAATGCAGACCAAGCATCCTCTGTGCAAAACGGGACAAAGGTTCATTTAAGTGACCTCTGCTACTGCCGAGCTCGCACTAGACTTTACATAGCTCCACACACAGACTTGGGCTTTTAATAGGGCCATACTCATTGCTTTATGTGGTTTGAGTTCTCTTTTTATCTTTGTCTTTGGGCTCATGTTTGCTGTCTGACATTGTGTGTCCCAAGCAGAGGTGGAAGGAGTCCTCAAGTTTGCTATTTAAGTAAAAATACAGATATCAAAGCAAAAAATAATACTCAAGTAAAAGTATTAGATGAAAACAATCAACTGAAGTAAAAGTATTAAAGTACGCATTTAAAAATGTAGTTAAAGAGTAAAAAAATAAAATATTGTGAGCAGATTTTGAGGTCCAAACTTGAGACGGTCCAACCACAGCAGCTCGTTTGTATCTGTCACTCAAACATCGAAGACCTCTCCTCTTGAAAATTATTTTAACATTCAGAACAAAATATAGAACTTCTTTTACCTAAGATATGTGAAAAATCCCCCAGTTGTCCAGGTAGAATCCATGGCAAAAGGAGAAATTCAATTTGTCAGCTGGAAAAAGTTTAGTCCAATAAGGTTCATTTGGTCTTCCTGTAATTACCTCCGCCAAGGAGGTTATGTTTTTGCCGGCGTTTGTCTGTTTGTTTGTTTGTTTGTTTGTTTGTCTGTTAGCAACATAACTCAAAAAGTTATGGACCGATTTTGATGAAATTTTCAGGATTTGTTGGAAATGTGAAAAGGAAGAACTGATTTCATTTTGGGGGTGATCTGGAAGAAATCCTGGATTCTGGATCACTTTGAAATTTTAGTTAACATTGTGGTAAATGGGGCCAAAAATTTTGTTTCTCAATATCTCGGTTAATTATTGACCAAACCCCATGAAATTTGACTCAGGGATGGACAATGGGATCCTCTTTCATATTCCAAAGGCTGATCCGGATCTGATCCAGAAGACTGATTTTATCGCAAATTATATAAAAAATGGGGGTAGTCCTTGACGGAGGTCTGCGCTCTCTGAGTGCTTTTCTAGTTTATGTTATAGGTTCTTTTTGCAGACCAAGAGTTTGTTTTCATGCCTGACAGTTTTGACTGCTCATCAGTGGTCTTCATCAGAGTGGTGACGTGATGTTGCTGTAATGTGTCCTGTCACCTGATTTATACAGGTTTTGGTACTGTTTTCCTACCGGTGGAGGCTGGATGAAAGAGACCTCTACTGTCATGTATGAAAACAAACTCTTGGTCTGAAAAATAATCTAATAACATATGAACAAAGTTTATGTGGTCGAATATATTTTGCAGCTCATCCAAGCTGGTCAAGCTGGTCAAAATCCTGGTGGACACTGCCTTATATCTGCCTGAAGGGAGGAGCTAACTACACTGAAACTACTCTGAAACTAAGTAAACTAACTTACAGTTTCTGTTACTTAGTTAGGCCTATTGAACTGCACTGAGAGTGGGGTCATATTAGCAGAATCATTCAGGGCCATAATGGGTGCTTTAACACCTCTGGACCTGTAGTTAGCCCCTCCCTTCAGGCAGATATAAGGAAGTGTCCATCAGCATTTTGTCCCGAACTAAAGAAGCAGTTTGGATGAGCTGCGAAATGTAGTCGACCAAATAAACTTTTGTCCATTTGACAAATTGAATTTCTCCTTTTGTCAAGCTTCTTTTATCTAAGTAATAGTCTGGTGCTTCGATTGCTGATTCTGACAAATTCCACGCTGTTTCTCAGTCCTTTATGTTGCTTTCTCCTTTTTATATATAAGCAACTATTTGATTTTGACACAGACAAGCCATGCTTCTCTCTGACTGGTTAATCTCCCTGTCAATCACGCCCTCTGAAATCACTGAGACAGGACACAGCTCCAGACCCCCACGTCTTTGTAAAGATTTGTTAAAGCGTGTGGTTCTGGCTGGACAGGTAAGTGAATCTCCAATAGAGTTCAAAAAGTCCTAACCAACCATTGGCGATTATGACATCATAAAAGTCTGGAGCGTGAACGCAGCCTATTACAAAAATGACAACTGCGACTAAGCCATGCCCCAAAAGCCCCTCTCTTTGTGTCCTCTGCAGACTTCCGTAGCAGCACTTGTCACCTCTCGTTAGCTGCTTACATATTTGATCCCTGTGACTTAAACACATTTGTTCTTTCATAAATCATGCGCTTATGGGGACGCACTGCTGTCTCAGGCGTGCGGGATGCTACATTTTTCAGCGTGTTCTCCTCTTTAGGCTGAGGGGGAAGCAAACAAAATGCTAAGTTCACAGCTTGGCCCTAACCACGGCTGACAGGGCTGTGGTGTAGCCATCTGTGGAGCTGTTTGCGGTGAGGAGATGGGAGGAGGCAGGAGTGTCAGGGGGAGCGAGCTGCTAACGCACTCTGGCATCTCGGCGCTCACAC